TTAAATTGTTGTAACTTTTGAACGGTTCGACTACAAACGAAACGAAAATCACTACAAACAACTACAAACGATTTAGAAACGTCACCCGCTTGCAGATTTGAGATATCTCAAAGTGGGGTGCTACTCATTTTTTTAAATTTCTATAATTTTTAATGGATGGAACTACAAACGAAATTATTGTTACTACAAACAACTACAAACAAAATGCTAACTTTTTACGTAGAAAAAAATTATTTTTTCAAAAGTCGGGTGCCAGGTTCACATAGCTAAAACGAATCCAAACTAGTTATGTACTACGTCCTACCAGGGAGAGAACAAACGGTGATGGAATTCTATAAATGACAATATTGTTTAGATCAAATCGGATAAGTAATAAGAGAAGATACGGGAATTGTAGAGCTTCGGAGTTTCGTGTCACAAAGTATTCGGGAGACACAAAGTTATCAATGTCGCGACTAGTGAGACAGAAAATTGCCATCGCGCCGAATGGCAGACAGAAGCGCACCACGGACGATCCGAAACGCTAGTGAACTCCGAATCGGAACACGCCCACTTTTTCGCGATTCCAATTAGGGGGACCCTTTGGCAGGGTTTGCTAGGTAGTTGATTGGCGTCGGCTAGACAGTGGTGGGAATTAATGAAGACAGTTGGAGGTAGAGTACGGGGCGCTGTGTCGGCGGCTAAATCACTTTTGCGCTCATACGCGCCGCGGAAATCACTTTGACGACTGGCGCTTGCGAATCATGTTCGATTGCATTTCTTGCGAGATCAACTCTGAATACAGTATTTTAAATGGCTCCGTATTCAATTATGCCCCCATTATTCCCGTCAAAATCAATAAATAGACGGTCGCGTTTTCCAGTCATGTTTCAACGCAAGAAAAGACGTCGCGCACCGTTATGCTCTCCGTCGCAATGTAACGCAACGCGGACGAAAAAATACAGGCATTCAATAATATCGTTAATGCAATCTACTACGACGATGCGTAGAAAGAGAGAGAGAGAGAGAGAGAGAAGCATGACTATGAAGCAAGGCTCGATGTCTGCACATAGTACTTTCGAATCTTGGACAGGTCACCTAGCAGAGGTAGCATACATATTCATGCCGAGTGTTTACCTAAGGCCAGAAAAGAACTGTTAAGAACCGAGACGAGGTATCACATTAATACGAGGGTACTCGAGGGATCCTACGAATACGTAGGTATATGCAAATGACACCGTTCCCCGGGGGGAGACCCTTAAATCACACATCGGGGCTACCAATAACACGTCCGGTCGGCGTGTACGTATACGAGAGACGTTCTTTGTGCCCCGCGATCGAAGCGAAAAGAAAGAGGGGGCGAAGAAGGGAGATTCGAGGAGCAAAAGATGATCTTACTTTATAGATCGTGGTATCGGAGTACTCGCGCAAGAGAGAAAAAGAGAGAGAGAAGAAAAAAGGGAAAAGAACGCCAACGTCAACAACGAGAAAGTCGAAACGACGGAAAAAGTCGGCTTACGGTCGAACTTTCGCGATTAAGAGGAAGACACGAGGAGCCTCTTTGCCGGGTCCCTAACCCGGCGGTGGCAATAATCGGGCGAATAAAAAATCTCCGGTACAGGGCGAGCAACGGGCGGTGAAAAAAAAAGTTAAACACGTTTGACTACGTGTTTCGGCGGAAACGGCGATAAAACTGCCCTCGCGTATCGCCTCCTCCGCGTACATTATCCGTCCGTCGACGACGACGACGACGTCGAGAACGAGGACAGTCCCCGAGAATCTCTTGCTTCGCCTCGTCTCATCTCTCCCGAGCAATCGAACTCACGACGAAAGGAGAACGCGGCGTTTTTATCACGAGTAATTCAGGCTGCCACGTACATATACGGTCTCTAATAAATTCGTGAATGGCCATGCCGCGAACGAAACGTCCTATACGCCCACGCGCACTCACACGCATTCCACGTGCACGCACATGCACGCGCACACGCGTGAACGGACGTCCCTCGTGTGCGCGTTCTCGGTCGTTGTTGCGCTTAGGGTACCGGATTCCCGACCGATGGGGGTACCCGGAGAAAAAGGGAGACGAGGAGAGAGAAAGAGAGAGGGAGCGGATATTATCGCCAAACGTTAATTTGGCCGTGGCCCGGCCTACCTTCCAATTTTCGGGCCCTTACACGCCCACTTACGAGATTGTCCGTTAACGCTCCGAAACGTCGGGACGCGTACATTCGACGCCCGCGTTTCCCGACGACGTAGCAGCGTCGTGCATGTCTCTCGTGACAGGCGTGACTTGTGCGCGCGCGCGTGCTCGTGTGAGAGAGCCTTCGTATCAAATTTGGGGATCGTATACTTTGACAAATTTGCGGTCAATCTGCCCGTCGCGAATACCTCCACCCGGCAGGTAATTATACATTATACCTGTCATATAATTCTGTGCCCGAAGACAGAAGGGAGCAATTCCAAAATTATCGGCGTTGACGTATTTATATCGTTATAATCAGCAGAACAGGCGTTTTTAATTATGGAGCGAAATCGATTGAGCTGATAAATATATTTGACTAAATACATTTGACTTTTTCTTTTTCAATCCTTACATCTCCCGCGGGGAGGAAAGGCATCGCCGTGCAATTTGTATGAATTATCGTGAATCTAACGTTAAAGAGATTAGAGAACTTTAGCGTGCTCTGTAGAACAAAACCTTTGAGATTTATGTACACGAAAAAGATAAATGGTTACGATTTACTGCTTATATCATCCGTGACTGACTCTACATGATCCAATCGCGGAAGCAGCACGTGAGATAGCATGGGAATACGAATAGGCAACAAAAATATCTATGTACGCTTCACCACGAGCGCTTTACGTAGCGGCGACTCGGATAAACGTTAAAACACATAAGAACGCGAATACGAGCGCGAGAGGAAGAGAGCAAGCGAGAGAAGATAAATACGGCTACGTAAAGCTCGACTGCGCTCGCGATGCGCGCGCAAAAAGTGGATGCATCGGACGGCGATGCATGCATCTATAAACGCGTAAAACGCGAACGAGGACGGGACTCGGCGTAAGTGAAAAACATCAAAATAAGAGACGGCACAATGCAAACGCGGTGAAATGTTCTACTGTTCGGTGAAATCAAATCACCAAAATCAGCAAAAGGGATGCGTCTGTGTGTTTGTATACGTATGCTTCATCATAAATAGTTACATTTCAAGATACGTTATTCGAGCAAATATCACCGAACGATCCGCATCGATATCTATACATTGAACGAATGCTTTTGTAAATAAGAATAAATGGTCGCCGATTGCACGAGATCTCCCATATGAAATTACGCGCGATGAATTTTCATAGGCTACATCGAACGGTAGTTTCTCGCCGACTCTCGCGCGAAATGCGCGAAATAGGTCGACGCGAAACGGGGAGTACGTCGCTGTGCTTGCGTACATCTCGACTTACGGAGCGCGTATTAGCGTGTGCGAGAACGCTCGCGGTAAGAACCGGTTATATAGGGAACCGTCCGCCGCCGCCACCTCTTCTTCTCTCTCTCTCTCTCTCTCTACACCTTCTCTCCATTCTTCCTCTCCTCTCATCCTTCCGACCTTTCGTTCCTCCATCCTCACCGGGTATATCCCGGCAAACCCGCCGCTACATAATGCGACGGCGCGCGTGTGTGCACGCGTGTACGGCCGCTAGCTAGTGCATACCCGCACGCGTAAATGTACGGGGTGTCCGAGCTAAGATAGCGGGCACCAAGCTGAGAGGAAACGGCGATCCCACGTCTCTACGTGGAAGAAGTCTCGTGGAAGCTCTCCCTTGAATTACTCGCGATCGGAACTTGCGGTCTCGGCGAGCCGCTCCTCGCCTCAGACGAACGACGATTCGTCTTCAGACAACGAACTCATTTTCCAGCCGATTTTTTTTGTGTAAACTAACATGTTGGCGCATATTGACACAAAGGTTCACCATAGGTGTCCAATGTTAAAAAAAAAAAAAAATATCACGGCGCGCTAAGGAACATGGGGACCCTCTGGTTTTTTATTTTCGACGACAAAGAGACCCCGATTAGAGGGGCTTGTGGACTATTTCTAGAACACCCTGTATGAGGGCCGGTACATACACTTGCGCGATGCTTCGACACCATGGGCGCCTGCCTATCTGACGTTGGGTGCTTACGAGGGCGAGCCCGCCTCTTTTCTTTTTCTCCCTTTCCTGACCTGGCTACCGACAGGCCGTAGGGACGCGCTGGTCCCCTCTGTTCCTCTCGCACCCCCGACAGTCCACCGGAGGCGTCGGCATCTCGCGAATGTTTCACGGACAGAGTCTCGGAACTTGCTGCGCGGAAACGCGGCGGTATGCCGTTGCATCGCCATAGTCTACTGGAAATATGATCTTCCTCGAAAAGCGCTCGCCGTAGGCTCCGGAGACTTGAAAAAGTCGACTTTCTGCAAAACATTGCAGAGCTGAAAAGACATTTGCAATAACGATCTTTTCTCTTTCAATAAATGTCGCACTCCAGTCTATCGTAGACAGTGCATTTTATTAATACCAGAGTACCACATAAAATTGTACAGAAAATTATTCGCTTTATGTTGAAACGTGCGTGCACGATAAAATTGTGCTCTAAATATATAAAACAGATGAGATATAAATTTATAAGATGAATGGAGTACGAATGATTGGTGATGATTCGGTGTGCGTGATTAATAAAGATTGTATCTTCAATGAAATGCTTACGAGAGTCCGTTTTTCTGTTACAGATTTCGAATAGACAACACAGATCACATAATCGATGTGAACAAGCACAACGCGGCGTTCGAGTACGATCAGGTCAATATAATATGTCCTGTGTACACGTCGGACACGTATGATGACGATACTGAGAAGTACATCATCTACAACGTAAGTGAGAGAGAATTTCTGTAATATTTGTTTTAACATTCATGAAACTTGTGGCAACGGGACTTTCTACCAGTTGTGACTGCGGCGAAAATAACTACATAGATCTCCGTGTGTATCCGCCCAGATAACAAAATCCGTGACAATAGCAAGCATTTTAAGCGTAAAAAATTTGTCGATCAATGTCCACCAATGTTTAGACAGCTGCTGCTACTTGAAACTGGCTGCTTAACCCGCTTCTATTATATCGCCGAAACGACATCCGCTCTTCGACAAGCGTGCCGTGCTACTTGAGATGTAGATTTACCGATAAGTTGAAAGAAATATTGGACATACTTGTACCGGTGAGACAACCTTGAACACGATCCTACGGTATCTTTCTCCAACCTGGATTCGCTTCATTCAAGAGATCGTAATCGTTGAGAGCTTATCTCGCCCATTTCTTCCGTCGCCGTTAATTGGTCTAAAATGTTAACCTCTATTCGATTTCCATCGAATAATTATCGAATAATCCACGGTTGAGCGTTAATTCTGACCTATAGAACTATTCTGCAACGTGGACTCGACCGATACCGCTGCTGACGCAGCACGAAGAAGTCGGGTATCGCGCGCGTGCGCTCGTCCTTACAAACTTCCGCTCGCCTGAGAAGTAACTGCGGGAAATTCTCGGCTTTCACGGGTGTAACTATCAAACATTCCAACGGCGTCCGCCCACTCCTTAGCAAAACCTCTCGAAGACTGTTCCTGCGTCCACCGTCGACGACAGTGACCTAATCGCTTCGGTCCACTCGATCGTCCCTCCACCCTACGTCATCCGTCGTCGTCCCATTGTCTCCGCCGTTTCTTCCCGCGCGACGATTAGCCCCGACAATGAAGCCCTCTTCTCCGCACGAGGACGGGAATCGTCTCGCAAGGGGGAAACGCTGAGACGGACCACCCTTCACAGCGATCAATCAGCGATTAATGTCGCTACGATGTTGCGGCCGCAAGGCTTCGTCGCGCATCGCCGATCGATTAGACCGTCGTCGTCAAGCGTCGACTGCAGAATTTCTCTTCGGCGTTTTGCAGGTGTCCAAGGAGGAGTACGAGACATGTCGGATAACGAACTCCAATCCGCGGGTAATAGCGGTCTGCGACAAGCCGCGCAAAACGATGTACTTCACCATCACCTTCAGGCCGTTCACGCCGCAACCCGATGGTCTCGAGTTCCTCCCAGGCCACGATTACTACTTCATCAGCACCTCGTCCAAGGACGACCTCCATAGGCGCATCGGCGGCCGGTGCACCAGCCACAACATGAAGGTTGTCTTCAAGGTCTGCTGCAGCGCTGATGCCGAGACCTCGTCCTCGTCGGCGACGTCACGTAACAACTGTAAGTAATCGCTCTGAACGTTGTCGTGGCGGGTCTCACGCGTTTCGACGGCTACGAAGATTGATGTAGACGTGGAGCAGATGATGACCGCGCTTCGGCATTTCAATCGCACAAACGATGGATTTTTTCCTACTTGTAGAATACTCGGACGAATACGCACCCCTCTCGCGCCTAAGGGCGAGTTCCCTTTGTTCTTTGTTACCCTCGGCAGTGGAAAGCCCTCAGCCTCCGCGAGCGATCGGCTGGCGTGTCGATTCGCTCCGCGGGCTCGCTCGCGCGCTCCTCATTTGCATCGCGTTGCGCGCATTCGCGTACCGAAATGCACGTTCTTCCCATGAGGAGGAAGAAGAAGCCAGCTCGCGCGGCAGTTATATATTCTAATTTCTCAATTATCATAATCTGAAATAACAGGCGTCGTTTGCACGATGAACACCGCCTTTTCATTCCACGTGTAAATCACGTTCTTCGACTCTTCACGCTTTCTCGTTCCGCGCTCGACCTCCGTCGAAGACGCGCGCCTTGGTACGAAGCAAGATAAAGAACGAATGAAAACGATGGGCGAAAGAAAGCCGCGCGTGGACGAAACAGAAATGGTCCATAAATTCATTATCCCGTAATCAGTTACGTGAGGAACGGCTACCATTACGGACGGCGTATTCGTCTCGTTCGCCATCCTTCGCGAGCTCATCTCCTCTTCGTCGTTCTCGTGTCCTACCCTCCCTCTCTTCGCCAGCCTTCTGCCCTGTGTGTCCCGCCGCCTCTCTTAAATAATCCCTATCGATTATAATCCTTACCGTGCGTCATTTGTTGCGGTCGGGGTGACCAACGCTGTGTCCCGGGGCACAATAAATTCTACCGTTTCATTTCACCCCGCTGTTCTCTCCCCAATTCGTTCCGAAGCATCCTCGACGCGTCCTCCCGTTCCTTCGTCCCTTACTTCCCCGAGGCTTCGCTCCCTTTCGTTCCTACCACCTTCGCCCCGGCAGAGACGATTCATGCGCCATAATGACCAGCTATTTCGCCGGCCGGGAACTCTGAACTCTCCTCGAGTATTGAAGATTCCACAGCGCGAGGCCCGCGTCTACCGTAGACGTGGAGAGTTCGCGCGCGGCTACTTCCAGACAATTATATCACCCGGGGGCGCGTTCTTCGGTCGTGAGTTTTATTTTCAAGGAGTTAGCAAGCACTACGTCGAGCTGTGCGTCACTACGTGGGAATGATCGATGGAAAAGAAATATTTAGAAATATAGACTGAAAAGAGAGATATCTTCTCACGTATATGCCTGTTATGTATAAGTTTCTATCACGAGAACAAAAATGTATTCTTTTTGCAAAAATGTCAAATAGATTCCAAATTGTGCCTCACGCGTTTAAAAACACGGACGATTATCGTCCATCGACACAAACGCGATTCTACTGAGAGCGATATTCTACGTCCTCTGATGGTCTTCAGAGTTCCGTAAGATTCGACGATAAGTTATTCAAATGTCATATTTCAAACAGCCTGCGTGTTTCAACGTAACGGTACGAATTTTCCTTCCGCTCTATAATAAGGTCTGTCGCTCGCGCGACTCGTTCTCTTCGGACGTTCCAAGAACGGCGGCCTCGTAACGGCCGGCCAGTCGGTTGGCGAAGAAACCGCCGTCGATTATTCTTCGACACCTGCGCCGCTCCGCGATCGCGGACGGGAGAAGCGAGGACCGCGTAATCACCGAGTGCCGTTTTCCAGCCGTAGCCGTGACCAGCAGCACCATGCCCAGCAGCAGCTCGACGAGCACCGCGATTTTGGGCGGCGGAGCCGCCGGCCTGCCGCCCCCGCCGCCGCCGCCGAGCGTCTACAAGGGCGGAGATCGATTCTACCCGGGGGGCAGCATTCATCATCATCACGATCATCATCAGCCGGCCACGGTGGCGCCGACCCTGCCTCACGTACCCCCGCCGGCCATCTACCCCGTGCATCCGCATCAGCCGCAACCGCCGATTCACAATGGACCGCCGTCCTCCACGCCGCCCAAGACCTCGATCGGCCAGAAGAAGAAGAACAGTACGTACCACGCCACGTCGTCACTTCACCATTGCACTCGCTCTCTGTCTATCTATCTGTCTCTCTGGCTTGCCTGCCCTTTCTGTCCGAACGAAATATCGCTCGGGAACGCTCCTTCGCGCTGCTTCTCTTTTGTTACCTCTTATTATTTTTGGATCCGATCGTCGGGTCGCTGGGTATCACCTCGCATCGATACCAGTCGAGATGTGTGGAGTCATCGGACAATTTGTAGGAATTCGATTAGGAAAGGATAGTCATGGGTCTCCTTTTACTTCAGGAAGAGAGCATCCGGCGTAATTAAATCACGCACATCGGACACGCGAGGTGTGCCGCGCGGTAATCATCGACGGTCATTGCAGATCGACGTTAATTGACAGTCGGAGCATCAGCAGCGTCCGTCGCGTCAGACTGCTTGCTCCTGATGCATTTGCTTCAGCTTCGCACTATGATGGCCAAGCATCTTTTATTATCTACATAACGCTACGCATTGCTCTCTCTCTTCGGGATCTAGACTAAATTATAGTAGAAATGATAATGATCACAGCTGTCAATTATTAACCCGCGTAAGTCGTTTTATATCAAATTATTATCCTTTTATTCGCTCAGCTGAACTATTTTACTTGGCTAACGTTTTTTTCCGTATTTTAGATTTCTAATTTCGTTTAAATTTCGGTCTAATTTCGCTCAAAATTTTTTTAATTAAAAAGAAAAAGTTTGAATAATTTTCTATTGTTTTTGGCTAATTTGCTAATTGTCGCATTTAAGGCTTTTGAATACTCGCGGTGGCCCAATATGTGATGTCAGCCGCGAGAAATGATACGCTGAAGATTCTTGCATGCTGTTCTTAAATAAAATGATATTTGTATGAAAGAGGAAGCTCTTGTCACTTTTACTTTTGTTAATTTTACAATTATTTATTGACTGTCAACGGATAGTTTTCGGAGCATTTTGCAAGTAAGCTTAAATCAGCAATGTTCTTTCATAAAGATATCTGTAATGGAATCTGTAACGCAAGAATTTCAGACATGCGCTTTCTCATTTCTAAGATGTTATCAATCAAGAGTTCCACGGCGAAAACCCAAGAGCATTACCTGTAAATAACCGTGTTCGGATTGTGAGATATACTCTCCTAATGCAAAGATTGTCTTCAATGTATGATTAAAGCTTGAAGTTTCGCTCATTGACGCTCATTAAAATCGCGCTTATCTCCAAGATAAGAATCAGACCGCTGCATGTAACACTAAATACACCTTGTAAACACGCGTAAGTTTCGTGTACGCCAGGTGGAGAGCCGGCGAAGCGCGGTGTCAAGATCCGATCAGATGAAAACTGGCCGAAAGCCATCTGTCGATCTGGCATTGCTCGCCCTTCTTGCGCCGACGTCTACGATAATTTGACTTCTAAATGCACCGCGTACGCGGGCATTTGCATTTCACCGATAAGCCGCGCGGATAGCCGTTCAGCCATTAACGCGCCGTGTTTCCGAGACACGACACGATAGGGAATACACGTTCCCGAGGTGTCGACTTGGAATTGCCAAGGATTTCACCGCTCTCTCTCGCTCTCTTGCTTTATCCAGCGTCCCGCTCGGCGTTAATAATCATTAAAATTTGAAGTGCTACTTGAACGCTTGTGGATATCTTCTGGAAGGGTATCATCCGACGAACCTCAATATCCTCAACATAATCCTATTCAGGAACTGATTCCTATTCAGATCGTGATATTGCTTGATTTTCCCGTTTGAAAGTATTTGCAATATTATAAAAATGTATTATCTACTCCTCCTCTTTAAAATGTGATTTAAAAGTTTACTTCATTAAAGTCGACTTAGATAATTGTTTGTGCGCTAAATGTTTGTGATTTTTTTTACTCCTTCCATCTCTGAATCTTATTTTCAAAGAACCATTGTATAATATTTCTTTGTTTTCTCTATTTCTTTGTTTTACCTCTAGTTTTAAACTCCAAACCTGTCAGGATATGAAAAGTAGTAACCGCAATGTCTAACGTGGATCCTCATTTTTCTTTTTCACAGAGGAGTATTCGGATCATCCGAACGAGGTGGTGAAGAACGAGGAGCTGACGTACGCGAGCCGCGCAAACCCACAGTTTCGGTACACGCAGAGCATGATCCTGGCGACGGGCAGCGTGCTGATGAGCACGTTGCTGCTGCAGCTGCTGCAGTGAAGCGACAACAACGGCCGCGTACGAGAACGTATATCCCATACGTCGAAACCCCTTCTTCTGTGATTATCCTACGTTTAATTGATTTCTTGAGAGACGCGCGACATGCGCGCCCCTCGGCCGTCCCTCGATCGTAAGACACGCACGATCCACGGTCGCGCCGACTCGAGAGATAGTAGAGAAGAGAGAAGACGGCGGAGAAGATAGAAAAAGAAGAGAGGAGGAGAGAGAAAAAGGACGAAGGTCGAAGAGCTAAAAAGACACGTCGAGAGAAGAGACACGCACGACACACGAGCGGCGCACGCCATATTAACTATTAACGAACTCGGAGTTCCCAGGGTGAAATGCCCGTAGGACGACGAAGACGACGCCGAGGGCAGGATGGATAGAAGAGAGAAAGAGGAAAAGCGGAAAAAAAGACGAAGATACGCTACTACTAGTACACTACTTATAGTACACGCCCACTATTATCACTACTATAAATGGTAGTCGTATTGGTTGTCCTTCTTATCATTACGCTAACTGGTAGATATTTATTCAAATACGAGACGGGAGCGGGAGTCGTGGCAGCGTGCTAAGTATCCTCGAGCGAAAGGAGGTGATGAGTATGAAAGAGGGAGAGAAAGAAGGAGAAAGGAAGACATCTAAGCATATATTAGTGGGCTACGCGATCCCATCAGATCGCGTCTCTCTAATTCAAGCGTCGCGAATCCTTCATTTGAAACGAAAAATATCGCGTGAGCTCGGCCATCGACGACGACGACGACGACGAACGGTCCTTCGTTAAGGGGTCCTCGCTCGGGGTCGACGAGGAGAGACACGCAGTGTCGTTCCTCGTTTCGCGCGATCGTCCGAGCGCGCCGCGCCTCGAGAAAAGAGTACCTGAAAATCACTGAACGTTTTCGACCACGCGACCAATGCGGTAATTAATGAATCCGGAGCGAGAACCGCGAGCGGACTGCCGGGAGACCTCGTAGATACTACGCTTGAATACTCCAAGTCGTCGACGCGACACGATGCGCGACGTAGTACCTCGATGATCGTACAACGGCTCGCGAAGGAATGGCGGAGAGTCGCCGAAGAATTTGTGTCGCGTCGTGGAAGTAATCGTGTCTTCTCGCGCGGCGTCAGCTCGGACCGGTAGTGCGCGGCTGACCGTTCAGTCGAAGGACGCCGAGGACGAAGGATCATTCGAGTTCGCGTGCGAGATCGTGAGTAGGATAGTTAGCACGCGTGTAAATAAATTCCTAATGAATATGTACAAGTGGCTCCTGACCCGCCTCGACAGCGAGGAGGGTCGGGGAGATTTAAGAAAGAGTGCCGTATTTCTAGGTAAATCTTATACATGAAATGAGAGCGCGTGGACGAGTGCGAGAGAAAATGTGAGCGAGCATGCGTGTGCAAAGAGAGAGAGAGAGAGAGAGAGAGAGAGAGAGAGAGAGAGATATGAGTGATGCGATTGCGACGGACGACGCGAGCACCGAGTTTGAAGACGGGCTCGGCGAACGAAGCGTCGCGGTTGCGCGACACGAACTCGTGCGAATTTCAGCCACTACTACGACGGTCTAATTATTGTCACGAGTCAACGAGACTACAGTGTACGTCGTTGACTCGAATCCCGTTCGGTAGGGAAGATGGCGGCGAAAACGAGCGAGCGAGAGACTGAGTCGCGAAGTTAGCAAGACAGATGTGTATAATAGCTGTACCATACCGAGACTTCTATCTATAGATCTGTATTATATTTATTATCCGCTATTATTACGCTCTACGAATATTCAAACACTCGATATTCTATATTTGCTAGTGAAATATCAAATTTAATAGCGAACAAATTAACGTGAACTGCCAGGGGTGAAGAAGCGGCACGAACAAACCTCTCCTTTCTCCCCCTCCCCTGGGCATCCACCCCATTGTCGTTTATTTCCCCGTTTCACTCCGATTTTGTTCCAAGTGTCAAACACGAACAACGCGTCGATCCATTGTTATTAGCAGACCCAATCAATTGACTATTCGATCATGTTTCCGATTTATTATTTTTGTTCTACGTTTCTTTGTTTATTATTTTATTTATTATCGACTGCCAGGCAAAAGACTCGCGCGCGCATGCACACGTGTTTCACGCATTCGCTGCACATACCGCGGAATTCGCTTTTTTTCACGCGACAATCGTGCGCCGAACGTGCGTAAAATCGTCGATTGCGCGAACTGAAATATACTCGCGGGTGCGACACGCGACCTGGACATGCGTGCGCGCGCGCGAATACGACGCAACACGTGCGAGAGTAAAAGACGAAGCAGTGAGTAATTTTTCGTTTGTGTCGGTCACAAGGGAAAATTGCGAGCGCGACTGCACTAACGAATTATTGTAAATACGAATTATGCGCGGAAAATGAGTACTGTGGCGAGAGGAGGAGGATACGTGCATGAATGTGTGCCTGCGTGCGTGCGTGTGAAAGAGTGAAAAAAAGAACGGAAGAGATCATCCCCTATTCAGAATCTCAGACAGCGAGACGAGAGTCGTTGCGCGGATCGCTCGTACGGCCCGGCTCGCTTTCGAAGGTTCGATCATAATTCATCGTCCCTCACTTTCGTCGACCATTCGCGAGAGCGAATGATCACGATCGGTCGAGAATCGCGAACACGGCGGAAATTCAGCAGCGTCTGCATAATGTTATCCACTGCAGTATTGTAAGCCTAAGTATCGTACGCCTCCGCCATCCACGTCGGTCCTGTCGTCTGTCCGTTCGCCTTTATCCGTCGTTTTGTATTCCCACTTCTTGCGTATCGCGCAACGACGAACGAGCGAATTCGATCCCGATGACGCACTCTTTACACTATTTCACTCGAAACACACAATTCTGTCGGATATCGGTGCATCTTTTAAACAAATAACATTCTTAAGTTATCTTATTGATAAAATATGCGGAATTTAATTCATAATCAGGATTCACCTATATGTTACGTGTTCATCTCTGATTTTCCTTCAATTTTTCTTCAACCAAGGTGATTATCGAAAATTAATATAGATGAAAAGTCCACTTGCCACTTCAGATTTCGTTTCGCCAACGAGTGCGCTCATGTTTGCCGCAGGCAAGTGAGGATGCCAGTAAGATCTCGCTAGTCGCGGAGCAGAGTTCGAATAAGCGACGGAGAAAAACAGGAAGGCAAGATCCCGCTTGATCAATCAATCGTTCGTTCGTTCGTTGCGCAAAAGAGCGACACTACAGAGACGCGCGTGGATTCAACAGTGAATGGTACTCACTCGCGCGCAAACGAGATAAGCGAATACACACTATAACAATAATATAGTATCGAACTATTCGATAGAAAATAGACAAGGTCACTCACTGCAAGTTCATTTCTTTTATTTTATTTCCCTGTTTGTTTCGTTTACTTTTCTGTCACCCATCCGTATCCCCACAAATCCACCCAGGAACACCCATCGCCGCCGTGAGACGTGAGGCGTCCTGCTGCCGACGAGGCGAAAATGAAGTATTTTTTTAACAACACAGATAGAACGCATCCGGTGGGTTTATTTGTTCAGAAACTTGTGTAAATAGAGAAAGAGAGAGAGAGAGGAAGAAAGAGGCGTATAACGTGTGCTCGCGCGCACACAAAAATCTGTGCCGCCGTAACGAGACAGATTTTATATATCCACGCGACCTGTGGACTTGTCGATACGATTAACACGTGTAAATAAACGAACGTCCGAAGTAGGATTACAGGGAGAAAAAGGAAGGAAAAGAAAAAGAAAGAATAAAAAACAGGATACGCTTCACGTCCATCCCGAGAGGAGACCTGAGTTTTCCCCGTCTGTCATTACATTTGGTAATACGCTACTTAATTACGTAATCATCCCACTCGTGTGCGTGTGCAAGTACAGGTGCAGTAACGTTACCCGACGAGAGCACGCGCGGGTGTCTCTCCCTGTGTCTCGAAAAGAAAAAAAGGAAAAGAAGAAAAGTATGAGAGACACAGCACGTAGTTTCGCGCGTTTTTTAAAAGGAAAAAAAAAGAAAGAAAGACTTGTTTCTCTCTTCTCGAGATCGAGGGTAATATATATCTGCCGCGCTGAGACGACACACCGGCAGCGGTCTAATGAATTAATTAATTAACGTAAAAAGGGCGAGGATAAAGTGAATTTCGTAGAGGTACATCTCTTGTAAATAAACAAATTAACGATTGATAACGCGGTAACACGATGAAATTTATATTAAATGCATAGCGAATACGAGATAGGTTTCTAATAACGATTTATTATATAAAAAAAATGAATGTATGTTGATGTCTAAGATTTTTAACAAGATGGAGACACAAAGCGGTTAATTGTAAACTATGATTAAACTATTCGTAACCGAGGACACACACGAGTACTAATTAAACAGGAAGCGTTCGAGTGCAGAGCAACACTTAGCCAGATCGTGATTTCTCACGTTGCATATGTTATTTTGTAACTGGAGCCTACAGGACCCATACACTCTCGATGTCACGGCTAGCATACGCGGCGCTTCGTCGAGGAAACGATAGTAGATCGACATATGTTTGACCAGCGGCTTCTCGATTTCGCTCTTACATTTTCTCATATTTCTCGTAACTGAGCAGTCACCGAGCCATTTAATATCGATAAAAATGTTTGCGACACGTATCGGAAATTCTTCGATATACATCGCTGGTGTTCGTTAAAGTTGAAGAAATTGCGGTACATCCTGTACGCGGTAATGCTAATCAATTAAACTAAATAAACTAATTGACGGAAACTGATAAGAAACTAAAATGACCAACTAGCGTGCACTAATCCTTCTGTAGACTTTATTCGCGGTGTTTCGATAACAAGAATCGTAAATTATATTAATTTCTAGTCTGGTTATACAGTCCGGCGAGTTTTTACCGCGATTATCTGTCTCTCGAAAGGCGCGCTACACACTTTCGTCCGGGCGAGATTATTTAACGCCGAGCGCGACGCATTCCGTGAATAATGAGACGCCGCGCGCTCGCATCCGTGATATCGGGATATTAATTAAAAACCCTCATCTCGCCGGTCTGCTAAGGCTCGTTAATGAGCGCTCGTCGAACGTTTTCGCGATCATGCCGCGTATGGTATCCTTGAAGCGGGACCCTATAGATTGCGTGTGTTCACCAGTATGCACATTCAGTACCAGTCGTTCATTACGAAGCATTACAATACAATACAAAGTAGCGTAGCGTTCATAACAGTAGTCCACTATAGCGAAATAGTATTAAAAACAAGCAGCCACAGCAGACGAAAGAAAGGAAAAACAGGAAAAACTCATAATCCACTAAAAAAAAAAAGAAAAAAAAACGAAAGAAAGACAAACTGAGAAAAGAAATTGCATGTAACAGTACGTGACAGTACGCGTAAACGAATTTTTCACGAGAGTGAGAGACCACGAGGCGCGCAGAGAAAACACGAAACACATTACCTACGTCACACACGAGGAGAAAACACGAGGAGCTGTCGCGAAACTCTGTGCTATGGCGCAACGGGAGATCACATATATACGCGTGGTAGGTGAGTGACAGAGAGTGAGAGAATGAGAATTGATGAGAGCGATTGTAAAATAGAGAACGTGAGGAAGAGAGCACGAAAGTAAGAGGCGAAGCACACGATGTATATCTAAATGAAAAAAAAAATAATGCTACTTGTTCTTGTAAGCGCGATGTGCACGCATGATGCGTGCGACTGATGCGTGAGAGCGAAAACAGATAGGGAGGCGGGCAAGATGTACGTGGTCCTACGCGTGAGCGTAGACTCGTCGGTGTTACACAATTTATGTAGGTATATTCTATATGTATGTCGATATATAGCGAAGTATATCGATGGCAAACGAAAGTAATGTAAAAAGAAAAAAAGAGACGAAAGAAAAAGAGGGAGGGAGGGAGGGAGATTCGTGTGCGTCGGGCCGGGGGAGATCAGCCACATCGTATTTTGTTGTTTCGAAGTACCTTGACGCGAATCGTCTCTGTTTGGAAATTGGGGAAATGCGAAAGCAAGGATCGCAGGACAGTCCACCGGAGAAAATTCGATGGATGGTAGCTTTGTTCTTTCCGAGAGCAACGTCGATCGCGCGCTCGATCGATTTCTTATCGCGTTGAAAATTCATCCAGTCGTTGTCTTTTATTATCTCTTGAAAAATGAAGCTTTCAACGAATATTAATAAGTATCAAATTAGAATCGCGCATAGCTTTAGAAGAAATACAGCGATATTTATTTCCCTGATCAATATTCATTTTGCATGTGCTAGTTACTTTCGCAGTTCAAGATGAATTGACAGTGCTCGTTTCAGAAGGCGGACCGTCCTGCTTAATGATCCTGCTGTTAGTACAAAGAAGCTGATCAACGCGCGAGATATACACGACCTACTCGTGTCGTATAAATCGCGGAAGAATGACAGTGTGTATGCATAACAGTGCTAGCTAGGCTCGTCACTTCGGTAACGCAAGTTCTCTAGTCTGCTCTTCGACTTTAAGTTGGTCGGGAATTGTCCTAAAAGTTTGCAAGAAAAAAGGTTCATATGTAATAAAGCATACAAATTCTATTCTAAAACAGACGACAAGAGAGACATATTGTTATATAAAAAAGAAAGACATTACGTCGTGTAGCTAGAGCGATTTCTGTCATAAACTCAATTACTTTAATAACTATACATATCGTTCTCGAAAATTTCGCGCAACAGTCTGATGTAAGAAATACGACACGGAAATATTGCGGCTTTTATTGACCTAAAAATCGTTCCTAAGGAAAAGAGAAACGCACTTGTCTTATTCTTATTTTAATTCGACGTTCAAATCTTTTATTTTTATATACGCCTAGCATGCGGAGAGGCCTAAGAAATTTTGGCACCTAAAACGAATATCTCAAATTATAATTTCAGATATTTACGTAGCTCGGCTTTTGTAAAAAGAAAATTATCACTAGAAAATAGTAAGAGCTCAAACGATTTTGTGTTCAATAGGGCAAACATATTATGCATTTTTTACTTATACATGACGCGAATTATAATTGACTGACAACTATCCTATCTATCCGATCTACACAAAAGGAGCAATTCCCGAAAATAAACTGCCACATGCGATCGTTGTCATCAATGTTTAATGTAACGTTTAATATATCCGCTTGCGCAAAATCAGGCGAAGGGAAAAACAATAATCCCGATAAGAAGGCCAGTAATTCTCAGCGCAAACGCGTCTCAACGCTTTTTTAATGCGCTAATATCGTATGCATTCTTTAAGCAACGAATTGTTCATTGACCACTTGTTTCCGCTGGAAGCTATGCGATATTTTATATATTCAAGCGTGACGGCAATCGTGAAGAGCGATATAATGTCAGCGTAATTTTAAGTTCACTTTGATAGAATTTTAGAAGGAACAACCGTCGATGAATATTCTGCACACAAAACTTCGTCTTCTACTTTTTCTTACACAAACGTGCTTAGACAAGACTTGCTTCCTTCATGATAATGTAATTATTTGATGTTAATCGAGCATAAAATGTCTGTAATAATTTGTACGATAAGCGAGAGAATACACACGACCGCACTACATGCGCTTCTACGTATGGTAGCTTAGTTTTTCGTATGTTACGTTACATGTGTAATCAATTACACTCACGCGAAGTTACGTTGCCACGTCTGTTCGATAATTTGTAGACTGACGAACGCGCACGAATGTTATATCTCTTCTAACACCGATCCATATCTAACATACAACGAGCGTCGAACGCACCAAAGAGACACGTCTCTCCTCGCGATCACTGTTATCTCCTTTTTTCGACGCTACTATTCTAACTATTCGAGCTGTATGTGTATCGAGCAGATTTGGGCGATAAAATATTTCGACAAAATCGAACAACAGTAAGAAAACAAAAAGAAACACAAAAGCTCTGTTTTTCTTTTCCTCGCGACTCGGTTATTATGCGAACAACACATGCAGTCGTAAAATCATACAAAATAACAAACGAGAGTATAATCCGATTGAAATAGGTGATTCGTCAAAAGGAAAAGCACGAAATAAAAAACGCTCAAACCTACTCCGAACGTTGGAAAAAGAATGCTGCCACATTTTTTCAGCGATCTTGTGTCGAGACACGTTTATTATTCAATTAAAGCGTTGATACTTTGATCGATCTGGCTGGTTTCCAACAGAAAAAACTTACTTATTGGGAAAAGTACAGCTACAGTAATCAGCTGGAGCTAAGAAGAGACGTACTGTCGAGAGACAAAAGAAGAATGAAGCGATATGCACACAACGACGACGTCAAAGGGCCTGTAAAGAATTAAATGATTAATCACAGTTATGCAAATAAAGAGAGAACTGGAGGCAAGAAAAGAGACAGAAATTAGCGAGATTCTCGCCGAGAAGTTTTGAGCCCGCGTCGCGGAAATTAATGACAGAAACAGATTCGATCGACCATATCCGCAAAAGACGATGTCGCTTGAGGACCTCGAATAGAAAACATACTGAACAGCACCCTCACGGCCTGCAGAGAGATAGCGAAGCTACGATGAAAAAAAAAAGAAAGAGAAAAAAGAAATGACACGACGAAAGGGTGGTGTGAGCCCAACCTCACTATAAGGATGGCCTATATATCGCACTCGTTTGAAAACTTATCGCAAGAATGCACAAGAAGTAGCGTACACTCGCTGTACTGTTTGTTGACTCGAATAAATATGCGGATTAAAAAGTCGGTTTGGTTTATATGTACACGATGAGCCCAGAATTCGCGCGGGCGGAACGCTGGCGATCGGCTGGGGATAAGAAGTCAAGAATCGTTTCCCTATCGCAGCTATGCGCGTATATCTCATTCTTACGTGAAGAATAATTCGTAGGAGAGTTCGAATCGCGATAAAAACTTAGGGGAAACAACTCGCAGACGAGCGCGAGCGTTCCTATTACGGCGATATTGTTATAATACGAACGTACTCAAGACGGCTTGGTATACAAGACTAAGAACAAGACGTAAAATAGGGACATAATATTTTATAACTCAACTTTTGTACAGAATAAATAAATACTTGTACTGTGGACCAATATTTCTTTCATTTCATTCACATCATATCATAACCTCGTTACATCATAACTTGTTTTCAATACCAGTAGTATTAAATGTATATTAAGCGAATGCCAAAGCAAAAATACTGAAATATCAAAATAAAAAAGATACTAAATACTACTGTATAAAATTATATTAAAAGCATATTATGGATTTCAGTATACAGATATTTTAAAAAATATTGACGATCATTAAATTATTATGTTAAATAAGCATTGAAATATTAAACATAAATAGATTGACAAAAAACTAAAACAAATTAATTATCCGGTAAACAAAATCAGAATTTCAATAATATCAGATTGCTCTCCAGTCATATGTAATCTTCTTAAAACCGCATTGAAATATCATGTCGCATTTTCGAATAACAAAACAAAAAAGTTTGACGCAGGTGCAACAAAAAAAATTTCAAATACATGAGAATAAAAATTTCAAACATATAACACTGTTCTCCTATCAAAATAAGTCATTATGATGGAAACCACATTCCCGCCCGATCACGCGTTCTCAAGTAAGAAGCCCCGAAAGATTGTCAAGTGACAAAAAGGTGAGAATCCAAGTGTGCGAGAAAAATATTTGAACCATACGATACTATACTCCTATCCAAATAAATCCTCACGGTGCAAAACGTATTCCCGTCCGATCACGCGTTCTCGAGTAAGAAGCCCCGAAAGATTGTCAGTTGTCAAAAAAGTGAGATTCCAGGTGTGCGATAGAAAAATTTGAAACATATAATAACATTCTCCGGACCAAGTAAGTCGTCGCGGTGCAAACCGTATTTCCGTCCGATCATGCATTCTCGAGCAATCAGCCCCAAAAGATTATCAGGTGTCAAAAAAGTCAGATTCCAGGTGTATGATAAAAAAATTTGAAACATATGATAATATTCTCCGGTCCAAACAAGACATCGCGGTGCAAACCGTATTGCCGTCCGATCACGCGTTCTCGAGCAATCAGCCCCGAAATATTGTCAGGTGTCAAAAAAGTCAGATTCCAGGTGTATGATAAAAAAATTTGAAATATATGATAACATTATCCGGTCCAAATAAGACATCGCGGTGCAAACCGTATTCCCGTCCAATCATGCATTCTCGAGCAATCAGCCCCGAAATATTGTCAGGTGTCAAAAAAGTCAGATTCCAGGTGTATGATAAAAAAATTTGAAATATATGATAACATTATCCGGTCCAAATAAGACATCGCGGTGCAAACCGTATTCCCGTCCAATCATGCATTCTCGAGCAATCAGCCCCGAAATATTGTCAGGTGTCAAAAAAGTCAGATTCCAGGTGTATGATAAAAAAATTTGAAATATATGATAACATTATCCGGTCCAAATAAGACATCGCGGTGCAAACCGTATTGCCGTCCGATCACGCGTTCTCAAGAAGCCCCGAAAGATTGTCAAGTGACAGAAAGGTGAGAATCCAGGTATGCGATAAAAAAATTTGAAACATATGATAACATTCTCTGGTCGTCGCGATGCAAACCGTATTCCTGTCCGATCACGCGTTCTCGAATAAGAAGGCCCGAAAGATTGTCAAGTGACAGAAAGATGAGAATCCAGGTGTGCGAGAAAAATATTTGAAACGTATGATACTATTCTCCTATCCAAATAAATCGTCACGGTGCACACCGTATTCCTGTTCTCGAGTAATAATCCCCGAAATTTTGTCATATGACAGGTGCGAGCGAAAAATTTCAAACATATAACATTATTCTCCTATCAAAATAAGTCATTACGGTGTAAACCACATTCCCATCGAATCACGTCTTCACGATTAATAAGCCCCGAAGATTTGTCATATGACAGACAGATGCGAATGCAGGTGTGCGAGAGAAAATTTTCAAATGCATAACACTATTCTCCTGCCAAAATAAGTCGACATTCTGCGTCGATCATCCTAGCTTTCGATTGCTCCGCTATGGTATTTTAAATATTCATTTAACACTGATATTCACTTACACTTTATAATTATATTTACATTTGCACTATCACTGATACTAATATTGCCATTCTGGCAATGGATTCCCATCTTCCGATACTGACATTGAGCATCGGGACACTCCAAATATTCGTTTGTGGCTATAATATATATGTGACGAACGCACGATACTTTTCTTGGAACTCCCGACTCAATCCTAGGAAATGGAGCCCAAGCGTACCGGCGATTTTCTCCTCCACTTACGCATGCAGAGACGCTAAGTCTATCCATGTAACGAGCTTGTCACACCGATAGACAGGACGACTCTGTGTGCGTGAGTGAAGGGAAAAGAACGCCAATACGCCTGGGCTCAGTTTCCCGGCACTGTCGACTGTCCGCTCCATGATATACTTATTTCGAGTTCTTATTTAACGATATCTCGTCATGACGAACGTGCAAGACTTACTTTCAACACTCCCGACAATATTTGCGCACAACACTTTTCCAACTAGCATTTCTATCATCCATTAACGCGATAAAAGCGCGATACTCTTGTTGAAACTTCCGACTGCTCGTTCTGGGACGTATGCATTTCGGACACTTAAGTGCCGATATCTCTTCAACACAAACGCACGAAACTTACTTTCGGCACTTCCGGCAATGATTTGGACGTAAATCAGCGAGCCGAAATCGCGAAAGCAATAAAATGATTCGCGACATACGTTATTCTCGTTATAACGTATTCGTTTTGAACTGCAGTATTGCAAACTGTTGAGTATAATAGTTTCAAAATCTCCGTTACGAGACGCCACTTACCGGAACGAGAAACTGGCGGAACGTGAAACTGATTGGTGTATACCTTCTTAACCTTCACTGTATCTAAGAGAATGTACCAATCAGAACCACGAATTTTATAACAGATACAAAACATCTTTCTCAACTGAACGCGATTGCAGTGGTGGTATGATTTAAAATATGTCGAACCTCTGCTTTATTTTAAGTGCGCTTCGAGAACATAGCGCACCTTTTTTTAAAAGTCTATTTTTTTGTATTTAATGACTGGAATTATTTAAAATTGTTGCAAAGAGCTCTAGAACTTTTCAAGAGAGTATCAAAACTTAAAAAAAAATGGCACATTTTTAAATATGATGTGCCAAGTCTTGGCACACCATATTCAAAAATGTGACATTTTTTTTGCAGTTTTGATACTCTCTTGAAAAGTTCTAGAGCTCTTTGCAACAATTTTAAATAGTTCCGGTCATTAAATACAAAAAAAAAGACTTTCAAAAAAAGGTGCGCTAAGTTCTCGCAGCGCACCTAATCAAAAAAATTATTTAAATTAACTATTTCTTTAGAGTTCCGGTTTGTTTTACAATACTTCTAGAGTTCTATATCATATATAACAATAGTTTTAAAGAAATAGTTGATTTTACTGATTAAGTGCGCTTCGAGAACTTAGCACACCTTTTTTTAAAAGCCTATTATTTGTATTTAATGACCGGAACAATTGAAAATTGTTGCAAAGAGTTCTAGAACTTTTCAAGAGAGTATCAGAACTGCAAAAAAAATGG